CAGGCAAGAAACGCCCAAACGAACAAAGAGCAATGCAGCTGGGTAGCTCAGTCAGCCGCAGGGGCAGCCGGGGGTACGCATCCCACAGGCCCCCACACAACACAACACAACACAACGGTAGGTAGGTAGGAGACGCAGCGGTGGCGGCGCCTGGAAATGAACGGAAAAACACCACAAAAGTTCAATTCACGCGCTGTGTAATATCTGCACCTCTGAAGACCTCACCAGCACCGCGGCAAAGGCAAAACTCGCCTCTGGTGGAAGACGCACCACGGCCACACTTTGCTCACCCCCCAGTGACCATCGCACGATGTTCTCCTCACAATCCAAGTTGACTTTGACCACCGCGTTGGCGGTGAACGCGCAGCTAGTCTTCTCCGTGCAAAGGCCACCAAAATTGTGCGCCACCCGCCCGTCATTCCAGTAAAGGGCCAAGCCCTCGCAGCGACCAATGCTGTCGATCCATCTCAGCGGAGCGCCCTCAGCCACAACCCCCACCGCCAGTGTCTCACACCGCGTCATGCCAAACGTAATACAGTGCAGACCGCTCGAGTAGAACGGGCTCGCCGCTGCGCACACCACATCTGAGAAAAGTCTGTCGCTGCACGTAAGCGGGCGAAAGGGACCGACAGCCGCAACAGGGTACCGCGACTCCCACGAGTGATCCAAGCCGTAAAAGTGCGCCTCGGCAGCGCAAGCCTCGCGGTAGGCCTCCGGAATGGGGTTCCGATAACCGCGGAGGAGGTTCATTAACATGCCAAAAAGAGTTGCGTCCCTGCCTGGAACTTCAATCACGTCACTCACGTGACGTCCATCTCCGTCGCGCCGAAACCTTGACTCTGTCATCAGGAAGAGGACTGACTGCGGATCATTTCGCAGCAATTCGCGATGGACCGAGAAGAGTTTGCCGTCGACGCGGAAGGTGACAACCTCCGGCACACGCTCATCAAAGCTGACAAGCTCCTGCCGCAGATCGCGTAATTTGGTGGCAATATTCCCCAAGGCCGTGTTCGAGAGATGTGCGGTTGTAGGAGTCTGCAAGGCTCTCCATTCCCCCGCCGTACACGCGGCAGCAGCCTCCTCGTCCGAATCCACGTGCATGCCTTTCCGAGTAACACGCTGCCAGAAGGTCTGCACCCCGCCCTCCACCCACCTACTCTTTCACCTTACCCACGACATAACAGTAACAACAATAATAGTGGGGGGGGAAAAAGTAAAAACAGGCCAAATTCACCGTACAAAACAGCGTGCAAGCCACGCTCAAACCAGCTGTGGCACCCGCGCACCCATTCCCTCGGCACTGCCTGCACCGTCAGATCCAATTCCATTATTTCTAGACGTTAAAAACCTTTTTACTAATGATAATAATAAATTCGGTACATTGCGGGCATCTAAAAGGGCTTACCTCTAACAACCGTGAAGTCGCGGTGGAACTCTTCAGGTGAGACGTGTTTTTTGACGGCTATAGACATCGGTGCTGCCACAAAGTCAGGCAACTGGAGAATAAACTCCGTTGGCCCGCCGTCTTTCTCCACGCCCCCCTCATCGGGGCGCCGCGGGGGAAGAACAAGAGTGTGGCACTTCCCATTAGCAGCGTCAAGGGCATCGTTCTCAACCGTCGCCGCACTGTGAACCACAACAGCCAGTGCACGTCGAACGGTGCTCGAATTGGAAACATGGGTGCGAAAAAAATCCTTCACCTTTGCGGCGTCCAGCTGCTTCAGCTCCTCAATCTCCAGTTCCTTGTATGTAAAGTCCACGGGGTGCAGGTGACGGTTGAGGAGATCGGCGGCGTCGTCCTCCACGGAGTTGGGTAGCCTCCGGCGTCGCTCAATGAGGCCGTTCACAACCGTTTTCACCTCTGCCTCTTCACACACCACCTCCAGCCCCTCCTCCACCGCCGCCAAAAAGGCGATGACGCGTGAAAGAAGGTACACCCCATTAACGCCTTCCACGGCGCTTTGGGCGACAAACTGCAGGTGTGCCGTGCCCTCCAACCGCAAGGACGCTGAAAAAACAACATACCCGAGAGCCTCCCTCGTGCGAAGAGCGGCAAAAAAACTGGAAGAGATCAGCTGACCCGTGCAGTCCGACAGGGCGCGGAGAAGTGGGGTCTCTTCGCCAAGATAAATGTCAAACAGCACCGCGACGTTGGGGTTGGTTGCATCAAAGGGAGGGTAAGTCAACACGTCCACGAGTGGGTCAGGCAGCGGCGGAGAGACAAGAGGAAAGGCGTATGTGTCACGGTATTGCGGGATGCTTTCCCTGCAAGCGGGTGGAACATGCAAGCGCGAGAGCAGCTCCTGTGCACCTTCAATTAGGTGATGCTGAACGTACTCTACCGAGGGTACATTTCCGGCAACGCAACACTCAAGGAAGACGCCACTCGCCAGGTACTCCCTGACAAACGCTTGGTAGTCCGCATACGACGCGTAGGCGGCGGCCTCAATCAACTCCTCAAAGGTGTATAACATGACACACGCTGCTTTCCTGAATCGATCGCCTGCCATCATGTACGGTTGTCTGGATTTAAGGCTCTGAAGCTTTCGGAGTTCCATTTCGGCGTAGTTGTCGTACCTTTCCACGGAAGCAGACAGAATAGTGAGGGTAAAGGACTTCTCCAAGATGGCAAGGGCAAACTCCACAATGCGGTGCTGTGGTCCTGTAGCCCTAAAAAGAAGGCCCCCAGTGTGCAGTTCAATTTCATTTTTAATCGCTGCCAGCATCCCAACATAGCTCATCTCAGCGAGGGCGTCACTCAAGATGGACTTCAGAACACGCATGTAGTATCGGTTCTTTGGCGAGGCGTAGGAACAGGGGGAGATCCAATTCCAAAGGATTGACGTTTTGAACGACCTGTGGCGCCCTGCGTCCCGCCGCACCAGCGTCACCCCATACGGAGTGTAAAACTTATCGACAGTGGCGTGGCTGCCATCGCTCACGTGCAGTGTGAAATCCGTCGCGAGAAACGGGTTGGTGGGCGGTAGCGCCAGCGCGGGGTGCCACGGCCCGCGGCGATTGGCAGCCCAGCCTGCGAGTACTTCAGTAGGAATGCGACACCTGACAAATTTTGCCTTGTGAAAGCGTGTGGTAGAGTTGCAGGCGACTTGCGCGAACTCAGGCAGGCTGTGAAACAAATCCAACTTTGCCTCGCTACTTGCCTCCTCTTCTGATTCTTCCTCCTGCGCCTTCTCACAATCGTCTTCGTCAGTGTCCTTTTCTTCATTGGCGGAGTCGAAAGATGCCTCCGCATCGTCGCAGGGCATATCCCCCCACACCAGCATTACAATGCCGTTTTCAGGTGTCAGTTGTGCCGCGTACGCCTCCGCAGCGGCAATGTCGTCAGTGAGCAGCATCTCTCTAGCGATCCAGCAGTGCGGCAAATCCGTTTTATTAGCCGAGTCCGTCAGAGCGACACAGTGATCCACAGCGTTGGATATGTCTGATGACTCAAAGGTGAGTTTATCTTCCGCTTTCATTTGAGCATAGACCGCACTGTCTACGCGGGCGGCCTGGCCAATTCCCTGATACAAGATACCAATCACATCTAGGATGCGTCTGAAGCCGTGCATCGTCAGCTCAATGTCCACATAAAGTACGTCGTGATCATCATCAACCTGATTTGGGCCAACAACCATCGCGGTGGCCAGATGCTCGCGGCGGAGGACGCCAATGACCGAAGAACCACACTCGTGTCCGAGAACATGGGATACGTATTTGCTCGGCATTGACCGCCACAAGGTGGCAGAGGACTTGACGGGCCAAAGAACACGCAACGTTCTCATCCTCGTGAGGGACCGAATATTAAGCCACAATCCCCTCGTCTCAGGGGCGAAGAGCAGGTCTTCGAGGGGCAGGAAGCACTGGGGAGAAGTTGCCCCCACGCGCATCTTTGCCAATGGAGCCTCAATAATGCGAAGAACCGTCTCAGGTGGCAGAGCACTGTACACCGCCAGGCAAGCCGCCTCCGATACGTAATACGTTTCAAAAAACTTCAACAGCTCGACCCTGATGTCCACATTCTTCGCCCGGGGCTCTTCCCATAGCGTTGTGATGTTGCCGCTGCCGTATCGGTGGCGTGGGTGTCGGGGATCAAAAAGGGTGCGCTCGAGCTCGTCGATACGCCAAGGATCCACGCTGTGGTTCTTTTCGTCCTCACTGTGCACCGCCTTGACCTCCCGCGACAGGGCACTCGGGGTGAAACTCGGAGCAACGAAAAACTCAACAAAACGTTCCAGCGCCCCCTCTAACGCATCCTGCGCCACGGTGAAATAGTACGTCGTAGCTCCCGCTGCCGTCCAGGCATTGTGGTGGCCTCCATTCTTGGCAATGTAGGCATCAAACTCGTCTTCCCCGGGGTACCTGGCGGTGCCATTAAACAGCATATGCTCACAGAAGTGTGCCAGACCGGGGAGATGTTCCGGGTCGTTGAGTTGCCCAGCGCAAATATTCATCGCGGCCGCAGGAATTTTGGCATTCTCATCTTGAATAATGATGCACTTCACACCGCTCTCAAGTACAAACCCAAAGTGACGGGCACGCAGAAGAGATGGGGTGATTATTTGTATTGTGTCCCGCTGAGGGTTCATTCCGTGTGGGCTCTCATATAGAGAATAAGTGGAAGCAAAGAAAAAAAAAAGGAGAAGAAAAGGTGACAAGGGGCAGCCCAAAAGGAGCGCAGGGCACCAGTCGTTACTCCGCACCACCACTCACGAGTGAGGGTGTGCCAATACACAAACATAATATTATCATCGCGGCTTTTTTTTTTGTTGTGTTCTTTCTCACACATGGGTGACAGCTGTCGGCAAACAGCTACGCCTCGCTTCGCCGCACCTCATCCCCTCCGCAGCGGGTCCACGTTGAGAGGCCCAGACAGCGAAAAAGGGCCACCCTGGGTGCTAGCAAACTCCGAATCCTGCATTGCATGAACAGAGTGCGGTGACGCGCCGAGTTTCTCCCGGAGCCCCCGCGGTTCTGCAGTCGCAGGCCTTGCACCATCCTTGTCAGTCGCCGCAACCCACTCAACCGTTGGAGACCCCCTTGCGAAGGGAAATACCCAGAGGAGGAAAAAGCGCACGACTACGAACGCGGCCGCCCACAACACACCGAGACGCAAAAGAGTCTGCGTCCGACTGTCAACGTAGTTCTCAGTCGTGGATCCAGGCTGCTCGTAGACGTACATCCCCATTCGTGAGTCCCATCCAAATCCCTTGCCGTCCGTAGAGGCCTTGTTCGCCTCCGGTGGTCGCCACTTGCCACTCCGCAGCGCTTCATAGGCCTCATTCACGGCCTGAAACCGTCTCGTAGATCCCTCAGGGCCACCGTCGGGGTGGTACCGCAGCGCAAGCCGGTGGTAGGCTCGCTTTATTTCTTCCTTGCTTGCGTTTGGGGAAAGACCCAAGATGCGATATGGGTCGAACGGCCCCTGTTCCGCTGCTCGCAGCAAGCACCACGAGCGACGCATCAGCTGAGCCAACCTTTGAAAAAAAAAAAAGACAAAAGCAGCTCAAAGGCGCACACACACAAGCAAGGCAAGACGAAAGCAGATACACATTCAGCTAGACAAGGAAAAGACGCTAGACGTCACTGTCACCCTCTTCTTGTGTGTGTGTGTCGTCGTCCTCCCCTTCTTTTCTCCCTCTTTTTGTCCCTCTGTGTGTGTGTATGTGTGGGTCGCGGAATCGGGTCACCCACTTCCGCGGATTCTGTGTGCGGGAGGGAGAAGTTGGTCATCCACACCCACAAATCGACCGACACTGTGAAGAAACAACTCGAGCAGGTTGTCGCCTCCGACGCCGTTGACCAAAGTGCTCCTCATCAGTTGGGTGGTGTCACACGGATGAAGGCCCCACACCGTCATCTGCAGCTCCTCACTGAACGTCATCGAAACAACAGGGGCATCATAGTCTTGCCGTTCTGCCGCACCGTAGCACACTTCACCCATCCACGTGCACATCTCACTTGGGCTCATCGGACGCTCCGGAGCAAAGTAGAGCTGCGGCTGACAGTAGCACTCGCTGTAGGTAATAAAATACGACACAAGGAGCTGCTCTGCACGGCCACACGGCAGCTCACGGTGAAGTATGCTGGAACCCTCAAGCCATGTGTGGGCCCGACCGAAAGGATCGCTGCCACGGCAGGTGCGCCACCCCAAGCCGCGTCGTGAGAGTTTCTCCAGTATCTCGTCAAACTCATCCTGCGTGCAAGTCAAAGAGTCCATGAATTGACGTGTACCGCCTGCTGGCCGTGGAGAGGGGTGAAAGCAGCCACAGAGGGTAATGCAGAGCGTGAGAGAAGAGGGGAGGGTCGTCCATTGCAATCTATGCATTGCACAAGACAAGAAGAAAATCTGCCCAAAAACAACAATACAAGAAAACAATGCGTATGTTTCCAAAGGACCACATACACCACCGACGTACTACTGAAGAAACCCAGCAGCTAAAAACTCCAAGAAAAGAGGGACAGACCTGTCCCACACTGGAAAAGGGTAATACACTTCCAGCATTCGTGTAGTGAGCCTTTTACAGCAGCGCTAGACTCCCTTTTCGCAGAGTAGTAAGTGAAAACGAACATACGCAGCTTCACACCAAGACTGTCTGAAACGTCTTCCTCCAGGAGAGTCAGGGGGGCAAGACCCTCAAAGACCGTCATTGCATACGCACAGAGCAACGGCAACAGCAACTCTGAAGAAAAAGACGTACCACACCGGCACCGCAGTTCAGTTTTACTCTGCTACTCACACCAAATCCCACCATAACAACGCCCATCAGTGCCACAGCAACCGCTTCTCCCAAAGGGAGTAGCGAGGAGGAAGAAGCAAGAGCCACTAAAGATGTAAAGGCGCCGACCCCCCCCCCCCCGCCCATCCATCCCTGCCCTCATTGAGAGCGCTGTCATAAAATAAAACAGCTGTAGAAGCTCGCCCCCACACTGAACTAAATGAGGGCCTACTCGTGCAGTGGCAGTAGCCACATAAGCGGCAAGCTTTAAAAAGTTTCACTTGACTCCGTACTTTGTTGGAGCTCTCACGCATAAGAGCCAGCAGGGCGGAAAAGGCGAGCGTGTCGAGGCGAAAGGGCCGTGCAGCAATCTCCGTACATTTGCGGGTGGATCCAAAACCAACTGCAGCGTCCGAGCAGGTGCCTTTCATGAGCACTTTATTCACTGTGTCCCTTGAGACAAGAAAAAAAACGATTTTCCGCCTCCCTGGAACGCCGACAAAAGACCTCCAAGACGGACTCTACACGCCATCTCTCCATGTACGCGAGACACTTAGAAAATCCAACAATGCGACCCGGGTCATCACCTTAATTCACGGCCTCCACGGCAGTCTTCAGAGCGGTGGCAGGTGAGTCGCGCCTTACTCCTCGGCCACGTACAATGCCCACGACGACGCGTGCGCATAGAGGCAATGCACGCGTATTTGTTGGTGCACTTGCAGCAAGGTCAGGTGTGCGGTAAGAAAACGCATAACTCACTCTTCACCTTCATTCTCTTATCGACCAGCCACTCAACCTCCGCCCCCCAAGCCTCCCACAGGTACGAGAGCGCAGCATTGGATGGTTGTCTTGTCTCACGGCCCCCAACACAGAAGACAACAACCTCGTAGGAAATCCTTTGACGTGTGGCAAGGCGTATTCAGCCAGCTTTTCCGTGAGGAGCGGAGTAACCAACAGTATGCAAGCGTGCAGAAGTGTACGATTCTTGAGGTGCAAGGGCAGCTCATGGCAACCTCCTCTGCAGTCAACAATGCACAGAACCCCCAAAAACCAGACACGCAAACCATGCGGTGTCAATGCAGAGGCGGGACAGGGATTGGCCTTCATTTATAGCATCCACGCTACAACAGAGTGATGGTTCCGCTTCTTGAGATTCCTTCTTTGCCCAAGCCACAGACGCTGGTTGCCACGGCGGACACAACTCCATACCTTTGCAGTACGGGGGTAGATTTAACGTCATGGTCTGTAAGCCACGCCGCACAGAGTCTCAGCTCGGCAGCGGCCCATTCGATGGCAACCAGGCCACAGCCCCAATGAGCTCATCTCCAGCATTTGTACTAGTGCTGCCTGCACGGTCAATGAGAGCCACCAAAAAAAGGCTCTGCTGCCGGTCACAGCCCTTGAGTCCACGTTAAAGGCAAAGAAGTCCAGCAAAAAAAAATTTTCTTTTTAATGAACCTTCTACCAAGCCAACAAAAACAGCAACAGCAGAATAGTGCCAGAAAGGAAGCCCCCAAACAAACAACAAACTGCGCCCTCAGGGGCGCCGGCTCTCCCATGTCATCAAAGGCCAGGGAGCCGCCAGAGCCCTTGCGAGCTCCGCCCCATACATCCGTCGCGAGCAAACGCAATATGGTCCAACTCCCCACACAACTCACGCCCCACACAGCCCGCTCCAATACACACAGCGACCTTACCTAAAAGGAGAACAAACAAGACAACGACATCGACAACAGAGGCGAGTATCCGAAGCACAAATTTGGCGTCGCATGTCGTATCCTTCTCTCCGTGTCCAGCGGTTAGCGAAGGGTTGAGCGGAACCCTCGCAGATGTGCCATCAGTAATGTAACGAAGCCCACTACACCGTGCATTGGGAATTGGGGCAGTCCGTTAGGGTCACGAGTAAAGAAGAAACTTCACGAGTCAGGACAAAAAAAATCACCATCTCCGTTAATGCATTCATGCCCTCCGTTACAAACTGCTTCGGGACCAGCAGAAACAAGGCCTAAGCATGGCTTTGACCCCGACAAGACTCAAAAGAAAACCAGACGGCTTCTCAATATGAAGAGAAGTCACCTTGCAATACCCCCCACTAGGCATGCCAATAAATGAAGGGTGAAAACGCAGAAGGTCTATTGCCGCGCTGTTTCTTCCCTTCTGGCCACCCCATTGGGAGCTACTTCATGAAATTAACATTGCTCGGGTGCCTTTCGTCTCACGTCCACTATGAAATGATGCAGCGGCGCCATTTCGCCCTCATCACAGTTCGTTCCCCCCTCCCCCCGTAAAAGAGCAAGTAAATTTACACCTCGACCAAACTGCTCTTGATGCATCGTTCCATAACAAGAAGGGCACATGTTTACCCAAGACAAGATGGGAGAATACGCGTAGTCACATAAAAAAGAAGCAAAACGCAAGGAGGAAATAATTCGTTTTTTTTTGTGTATATGTGCCTTGCCTACTGGATTCCCAACAATCCTCAACGCCTCGAAGCATTCTAGAAGACATCTCCTCCACCAAGGGGCGGCGCCGCAGCAAGATGCAGATAAAAATCTCTAGCTGAAGAACAACGAGCAACATTTAATTTCAGGTGTTTGTGGCTTGTCAACGTTTGGCTCGGCTGGCGTCACCAATTTCTCTTTTGAACGTTCTTTTGATACTTGGTCGGTAAACACCCCGGTGAAACGGTGATTCCATCGCTGAGGATCCGCTACCACATTAGCCTCAACAAAGGAGCTGTTTTTAGAGACAGGGATTCCCCCAGAGACTTCTGGAAGGATCATGTCAGGAAGCGTGCTGCGTCTTCGCGCAATTCTCTGCTCCACATGCTGCAACTCAACGGGATCTGAGAGGGACGTCCCCGATGCATCAAGACTCGCATCCAGCTGAGAAGAAGACATAGTCTGCATGAAAAAAGAGAGAGTGGCACACAATGGAGAGACGCAGAGAGCAACGACAAAGCAACACCCCATGGGCGGTAAAGAAATAACGGGAGAGACAAAATAAGAAGCTGCGCAGTGGCCAATTCACTGAGTGGCACAATTGGGGTGATGAAAGGTAAGTTTGCACATGGTTCTCGGGTTCAAGAATTCGCACAGTATAAAAATAGGCAGCTATACAACAAGAGCACCTTCCTCCCACACATATACACACACACACACACCTCCCACACATTCCATATTGTTACATTGCGGCAGGTGTTGTGGTGAGGAAAAACATTGAGTGAACCCCCGTTTCTTCTCTTTTCGGAATCTTTCTCCATTAATATATATATATATATATATATATATATATATATATAT